TATATATATATCTCGGGCCGCAAAGTAACGCTTAATCGGCGCGTTACACGTCGCATGGCGGAATTATCCAATAATCTCGCCCGCAGGTCATTACTCCGGCCCGCGCGCGGCAAGCATATATTTGCGCAAACACATATGCATTTGCATTTATTTATCGACCCGATGTGTGCACACGTTCGCGGTAAGGATGATACACGCGCGCTGATAGCGGGCGCTGATAAGAAGCGGGAAGCGCAATTGACGGGACCGGCTTTGTTTGTCACAGCCCCGTGTGTGAGCCCCGCAGTGCGCGAGTGTCCCCTCCCGCGAATCGTTCCGACGGCTGATACACACGCGAATAAAGTGTGTAAATATTCCCGCGACGAGATAAGGGCTGAGAATAGCGCACGAGAATGGGAGTACGGGAGAGGTGTCCCGTGGGAGAAGATTCCATCGGTTTTTCTTGGCAGACTACTCGTGTAACCCTGTTACCTCCCTTGGCACGACTCTTCGAGTCCCTCCTCTCCCTCGCGGGTATCCCTCTCTCCTTTAACTTCTGATCCCAGTCCTCGCCGTATTATCTCCGCGCGAAAGACAGATTCGAAAGGATGAATTTAGGATCCACTAAATCCGCAAAAATGACTTTTTTTCCATTGCCCTGGCAAATGTGTATCTAGAATTAGTAGAGAAGAGTTAGTAGAGAAGATCTCGATTTAGTAGAGAAGATACTGCGATAGATACTACTCTATTTCACATTAATCTAACCTAATGGTATTTACTAAATCACGTAAAATAATAATGTACATTCGATGGTATGAAATATCTGAATATAATAATAATAATAATGAATAATATGAATGTATAATTAATTATATGTATAATTAATTTTACTACAAAGTAATTTATGAATGCAATTAATATCTATTATAAGCTAATATGATAATTCGTGGAGCATTACACATTCATGATTGCTCTCCTCGATTGTACTCTAATAATCGATTTTTTTCTGATTGCAGTTCAAGAGAATGTTAAACAAGGAGCTGTCGCATTTCTCGGAATCGTCCAAGTCTGGGAATCAGATCTCGGAATATATCTGCAGCACTTTCCTCGGTAAGTGAAGCGTTTTACTTACTGGATCTCTCGTCGGAATTACTATAATAACTACAAATTACAAGTTTGTACGTGAAATAGGAATTGACGTATATCGTTCTCTTCTCCCCGCAAAAAATTGCCTTTTCGTGGAGAAAACGACTGAAAAGAAATTCGCGAGACTGCTAACGAGGTCATCGCCGGAAGCGAGTTTATGGGTGCAATAAAACGAGCGCTCTTACGCATTAAAAGCCCTTGAAAGATCGTAGCCGGTATCGCGACCATTCATTCTGGTTAATTCGAATGCTTTGTTCCGAATGAAAGATCGATTGTAGTCGCGAGAGGTTTATAATCGGCGTGAAAAGGCACTTTTGAATTCGGAGGCATCCGGCGAAAGAAATGTAAAAAGACCATGATGATTTCTTAAAAAGATATCATCGATGAGTCGTTTCAGCGAAAATAATATTTCTATCTGAACAGCCTTTAAAATTAAGCTTGTCTTATGGCGCTTCAAAATTCGTTTACGACGTGCTATAATATTGTTACGTAGGTTCATAATCAATTTCGCTCCGTCGAAATTGAGTTATCGAAAGTAATATATTGACGATGGGCGTAGTTTTTTTTTTTTTTTTTTTTTCAGAATTATCGCAAAATGACGCGAGAGGAAATGTTCTCATGAATTATAAATAATACTATTCAAATGCGCAATATTATCTGTACCTCGGTCAAAAATAATTTTTTTTAACGTTGTCACGACGTTGTCATGAGACGAGTTATGGTCGAGTTTATCGGTCGATCTAGCTACAAATACCGTGTGATAAACGAAATCTACAATCAGAGACACAAAGTGCAGATGCATTGTTGTTTTAACGATGCATTCAAGTGCAACGAATACGACAATCGCGCGGTTCAGGGACGAGCGCAATCTTATTTCTTTCTTTTTCTTTTTTTTTTTGACAGTCTAATTGTGTAAATCCTAACAATTTTTTATCATTATGTACGTCGTAATATCGATAAGTAATATTTAAAAATGGAAGGTATATTTACATAAAATATCCATTATGAACGTCTATTATTATATTGTTTGTCTCAATGGAATCGAAATTTCACCTTTTTTTTCTCGTTTCGATGTCAATCGGTTAATTAATCGCTTTTATTATTACTTATTATTCATTTACGTCACTGTTCGCACGCAGACAAGCAGCAGGAGCTGGATTTGCCGTCTTTGCGAATCGAGGATGCGGTCGCCGCGGCGGGTAGCATGGACGCGCGGGCGGCGAAGAAGAAGGACCGGGTACAAAGGGGCCCCGCCGCCATGTCACACATCAGCGGCGTGAAACGGCCGTTGACACACACTAACAGCTTCACCGGGGAACGCGTGCCGCTCCACGGGGTGGAAACGCCGCACGAGGAGGAGCTCGGCAAGGTGAGCCTTTGACCTTTGGCGTTTCGGCTACCGCCGATAAATTGCCGTCAGGCTCGGCCTTTACGCGCGTCATCACTCACGCGTCGCGATTGGGCTCCGAAAATCGCAGAACTCGTAGTGTAAACGGAGCATCGTTCCGGAAAAATAAAAAGCCCAGTTTAATCGCTGCGAAAATACACATCGCGCGAAAACAATATCGTAATTATATCGGAAAGACATTGTTGCGGCGTTCGCATTCGCTGCAACGTTATTACAATGTTTTTATTTCGGGTCTCCATTCGGAAAATGAAGAAAATAACATCATGTGTTTTAGAGAGAGAGAGAGAGAGAGAGAGAGAGAGAGAGAGAGAGAGAGAAACGGAGAAATGGAAATTTACAAAATTCAAACAATTTGCGAGAATTATTTGCCATTTCGTAAGAGCGGGTATACCGAATAGATGAAAATAGGTGAATATCACGCGTCGATTAGATGATTAATGTCACTTTTTATTTACCCGCGAGTATTTATGACGCGATCAACTTACGTTTTTCGTGTAAGCGTGTAAAATAATTCACAAGCGTCTTATTAAGATGTAAATATGACGAATGATCAAATGATCAATTTAATCCATCTTATGGATACATGCTTGATTTCATTGAGATCGATTACGCCCATGAGTCATCTTTGACAAATGTCAAATTTGTCAAAGCAGGTAGTAATGTGGCATTTCGATAGGATTTATATACCAAAATGATACTCACGTGCCGATACTAAACTGATTACGAACTTCAATAGAATCGAAATTTATTTGATTGTATGATTATTAATCGCGGCCTAACGAGAGAGAGCGGCACGTGTAATCCGTGTTACATATCGATAATATGGCTGTAAAATAGAAAAACTGGCACGATTGTATGTTAATGATAAGTTGATAATTATTGTGTTTTAATACGATTACGGCGATAATTACTTTTAATACGATTATGCTTAACAATTAGCTTGATAATTGCAAAAGCTTCATTTAGTTATGAGGTAAAGAATGAATTTTCAATAATGGATGCCGTAATAACTAAACACAGTAATCGTATTATAATATTGCGCAATATGTAATTATTAACAATCTTTCAGGTTTTGGAAAGCTTTATGATCAAAGATACCGAAATCAAAATCTATATCGAATCAAACGTATCGTTTTTTTTATTAATAAATAAATAGAATTATTCCTTAATTTTTAAGAAATGTGTTAGTCTTGTAGAACAATTCGATCGATTGACATCGTGTGAAACTTGTTTTATATGAATAAATAATAAATGATTACTGTTGTTCTTCAACTGAAATGACAATGTTTTTAATTTATAATTAAATGATTAGACATCACATAGGAAAATTTGTTGTATCAGTAATTTATTTATCGATACTTTTTCACAAAAATATCTGTGTATCTGTAATTTAACTACGCAGCACATTTTTAACACGGGTACTTTTTTATCTTACGAAAAAATGATATAAAAAAATATATTAAAGTTAATTTAACAGAAAATAAAATAGCGTTTTAATATTTACGTATCTTCGGTCAGAACAGACTCCCTGGGTGGTATCTCGTATCTCGCGAGGTCATCTCTGGATTAGCGGAACGATCTACTAAATATATACTAAAGGTTTCTCGTTTCCACTCTTCCACGAAGAGTTTCCATTTGGCGAATTTATCGCGATGACGATCTCGTCTATGATCCCGTTTATTGTTTCTTTCCGTTCTTTTGATCCGCGCGCGATATTGACGCAGATTCCATCGCATCCGAGAATTCCCCGAACGTTTCTGGCTTTCATCCGCGTCCGCCTATGGATATTTACCATCTGCGCGATACTATATCTACATCTGTTATATCACGATCACTACATTTTCGAGAAAGTCCAACGTGACATCCTCAATATATGCATCCTACGCTGATCAAACTTTTATTAAAGGAATTCCCGATTTTACGACGGCATTAACGTGTCATCACACGGCGATAAAGAGAAAATACGGAAGGAGAGAGAAGGAGCGAGAAAGAGAGAGAGAGAGAGAGAGAGAGAGAGAGAAG